ACGACATGTTGATATTAACTTTTCTTCTTAAAATCACCCAAGGATTCACACCCTTAAGTATCAGCACTCAATTAATAAACACCCTGTATATTCTGGATATAGACGGACATTTGGATATCCATATTAGATCCACGGAATATTTCTGATATCCTGTGGATATATTAGATATCCACAAAAGATATTCTGTGGATATCTCTTGGATTTGGTGTGTTGTCTGGGTATCTTGTCGACGACTGACTGTTGCGCATTGTCATTTTATTAACTTATATACTAGTCCTATGCCTAACACGAAAAACTAGCACTGTATAATTAGCTATAATAAGTGGTCATACTTTTCAAATAGTCCTTACAAAGTGTTTAAGGTAGCAACATTTAGCTGTTCAGATGTCACAGGTGGAGAAATAATTATTATTAAAATTATTAATAATTAGGTTTCATAAGGCTCGTGATGTGTACCAATAAAACCAGATAATTTAAATTTTATAGTCAAGCCATTCAAAGAGAAGGGACATTTTGACAATTATTTTGGTAGCCAAGAGATCTAAGTATACTTCCGTCTAGAGCTGCGATCAAGGGGTCTACAGAAAAGCTGGATACCATTAAGCTACCTGAACTCGGTCCCCTTGAGTTGCCTTTGGGGGTGACTCTAATGTTTTGGAAAGAGACGAGTCAGGGCGAGAAATAAAATCGAGAGAGATAGCGCTACACTCTAATTTAAAGGTATTTAAAGAGATGCCATAGGCGGCAGCTGATTATTTAAATAGGATGTCGTCCTCGAGAAATTCTAATACAGGTATGCTTTATGTGTCAACTAGTATTAACTGATTGAGCCTCTGTGATTTAATTTGTTTGATGTTACTTATTTTTAATATTAAAATTGGGATCCAGGATTCGAATCCCACCGTTGGCCAGGATTTTTTTATTTAATTATTTAAAATTAATTCTGATGCCTTGGTACCATTCACTGTTGGGTTCTAATTAACAGTGCTGATTGTAACGTTCATTTTTGGCCCCACGAATTAATAAAATTGTTTTGGCTTACCTGATTAATCATACGAAAAAAAAGGGTAAAATCGTATTGATGATATCACTATTATTTTTGTCATTAACTAATTTCACCTGTATTCTAACTTTCGGACATCATTTTATAATTTATTTCATCTCACCACTAAGTAAAAGGTAGTATAATACTTTGTACAATGGTCATATTTCCAGTGTAGTGTTCACTGTTTTAATTTGCCAGATTCTCCTAAAAATAGACCAAGTTTCGTTGTAAATTTATACATATTATGTATTATAGTCTCACCTTTGGGTAATCAATTATTTACGATACCATTCTTTAAGATTTTCTTGTTTATTTTTGGTTAGGTTAATGTTTATTAATTGTGACAGTGAATGACATAAACGTCATTTGACGACAGAACACCGACAAGTGTCATGTTGGTGGTACGTTCTAATATCGGGCTCAGAACCCGAGGTAAGGTAGTTTCACAATGAGCGATTTTAAGTCGTGAGGGATTTTTTTTGCGATCGCTGTTGTATTAATTTTTTGTCGGGAACAGTTTCCCAAATGTAGTTATACTGTATATAAATATAGTTTTTAGGGTACCTTTCGTAAATGGTCTGTTAAGTTATATAGTGGGGAATTCTTGAGGATGAATTTCTGAACCCACTTGACATTTATCGGAAAGGGATTTCGGCCATTTTGGACGGCTGACGTATTGTTTTTTTTTTCTGTCAGTGGGTATTCAGTCACGAGAGACGATTTTTGTGTCGAAATAGAATTTTCTTAATATTTAGCCCCATCGGCTTACCCTAATTAAAGGGGATTTTAGATTCTATTTCATGGTTAATTGTGGGTAAATGGACATTTCGTATTTTGAGGGGAATTTTAGTGAATTGGTAAATTCCCATGGTCATTGGTCCAGCCCATATCTAATATAGGATTTTAACGCAATAATCGGGAGTTCACAGCATTTGGAGTGTGGAATATTGTTGTGCTGTGAATCATCTCACGTGGTTCTCATCCTTGAAAGGCTACCAAGTTAACCCTTTACGAAAAAGGTATGTTTTGTATATATTAGGTTATGTTACCAACCATGTGTAACAGAATTTTAATTATTGGAGCTCATAATACTGTTTATGACTCACTGTTGAGCCAATGTAGTTTTTCTTTATCCTAGATACTGAATATTTTCTAGTTTATGTACATTTTTGGGTAATCCTATAGTTCGGGATACTTGAGTCAATGTATATTGACATTTTTCTTTGTAATATTTTAAGGGTTTCACCCAGGGGCTTGTTAGCCCAGGATTCGACAATTTTAACCCAGGGGGTTGTTAGCCCAGGATTCGACGACAGTTTGACCCAAGGGATTGTTGACCCAGGATTTCAACAGTTGTACACAGAGGGTTATATCGTCCGGAGTTCAACGGTTTCATCGTGGACTCATCGAGGGGACACAGAACATTGGTATGCTAGCCACCTAGTTTACTTGTAGCTAGATTTACAAGAATGTTTCTTGTTCTGGATAGGAAGATGGGAATGCTGTGAAAGAAGACACCCTACTATCAGGTTTTTTTTATACTTTATATTGAAGGTTTCACGTGTGCATTGTTGAACTATACATTCACTTTCAATCGAATGTTGTCAAGGTATTCTCAACATTATTTATACTTTTGAGCACAGACTGTTCTAGGGTCCTTTCACTCATAACTTAAGTATTATCAAATGTTACATCGTTTAATTGATTAATATTTTAAAGTTTTACTTAATTTAAGCACTTAATGCTGATGTAGTAATCCTTCGGGTCGCAGAACACTTGGACTGCTTCCACGTTTAAGTTGTAATTCTTCAGTTATTAAGGGCTACTGCCATAATTTTACTTTTTTTTTCAATTTATTCATTATTAAATGGTCCAGACTTAACGATTAAGTTAAGCAATCTCAGAAGACCCGTGTGGGGGCAGAGATTAAGTAACCTCTTCCAATCTGGGAGTTTAATTAAATAACCTCTGTCTAAAGTCCTTTATATGTTGTATTTTTATTATTTTTTTTGATATTTTTATTTAGTTCTATGAATTATACTTAATTATAAAATTTCATGGTTTAATAATTTTCTTTTGGGTAGTTTGGTCTTAACCAAAAGTTAAGCAGATATCGCCTTCCAATTTGGAGAGGGTTATAAGATTATAAAGATTATAAGTTTACTGTTTTTATAATATATGAAGTAGTATAGGTACGGTGATGCACAATATTTAAGTTAACTATTATATTATATTTTTTTTTATGTAAGGTGGAAATTAATGTTTTGCGCAAGCGTCATGCCTGGTACCAAGCTAACGACGAACCGTTCCATACTTTGATACATTTATTAATTTTTTTTGGGTTATGCATATACATACACTGTGTAAGTTTTTCCTTTTAATTTCCTCCAACTTTTTTTTTTATTAACTAAGCCATCAGGTAATTAGTTTGTATATTTACTAAATATTTTTTTTTTTCTTTATAAAGGAACATAAGTTGAGGTTTGTCTTTTATTTCTTTCCTCATTTACTGGGTTTTTGGGGAAATAGGATCATAGTTTGGCCACTATATAGACCCAGTTGGCGCCTATTTATTTGTCTACTATTTCCGGAATTTTTGTAAGCTATCCACCCCCTAGCTGCCGTCTGAGCGACGTCGAAGGCCCGAAGGTTGACACCGGAACAACCGAAACTTGTGTAACCGTAGTAGACAACATTTTTAATTGTATTTAATACTTTAATAATTTTTTTTTTTGTTTAAAAATTTTGGTGGAATCACCAAGTTCATTTTGTAGGTTACATGATCCTTAAGTGGCGCTGGAAACTGTAACAAAGCCTACACACGAGGCTAATGGCCTTAGTAGTCGATGCCGATGATACCAAATTAAAAAAAAAAAATTGAAAATTCTGATATTAAATGGCGTAGAATGTGATACATTTATAAAAATTTCGTACTTCTATGGTGCTATTGATCAATCCACATTCAGATCGGTGCAGGAAACAGCAGGTAAAAAAAGCATAAAAATTTATAGCAAACCTACATTCATGCACACTAGCGTTGTTTCACTCACTTGTAAGATGTATACCAAAAATCAATTATTCGCGAGAGCAGTGTTGTGCTTTATGTGAACAAAATATCAGCAAAAATATCGGACAAGCAAACATTAAGAACGTGCTGATTACTAAATAAGGAGTATCATCCAGAATTGAAGTGGCAATACGCAGTATTGAACTGTGATCCGGGTCAGTTCAATCATTATATTTAGATAACCTAGTAATCATCGAATGGTTGTCGAAACTGAATAACGAACATAATTTCACAATTAACTAATAGATGGACCCATAGTTGATTAAGTAAGAACCGAATATATTATGTTTTTAAATGAGTTTCTTTATTTTTTATATACATTTATTTACAATTTATCATCATTTTAGAGAATATAACAATATTAATTTAAATTTGGCAAAGTACCCAAATGTATTTAAAAATAAAGAAAACTTTATGTATATAGCTATACTTAATGAATGAGCATACGAGCTATTTTGATGAAGTTCTGTATAATTCTAATAGATGTCGTGACAGAATTACCTCCAATGAAACGTCCATAAGGTTGTTTTACTAGGATATCTAAATAGAACGGTTCAATTATTCAAATATAAACTACAAGTGTAAATGTTTCAATAAATTTACGAATTCTCAAATATTTTGTACTTTCTGTTCATTAAATAACGTTTCATATATTATCTTTAAGAGATAATAAAATTTACAATGTTGGAACTATTCTATTGGCTGCTTATGAGCGCGAATAATAAACAATATTAGTATTTTAATACCAATTTGTTTCTAAATACCTAATTAAACTAGAGACTTTTATCGATTGTTTTTAGGTAAATATGATTAAAAATTTCGACGCGTTATTATAGCTAATTGATATTTGATTTAATATTATAGAATGTATGTATAAAAAAATCATACCGATAATAATCCAGGAATAGTATCACACTTCAGGATGTCGTCAAAATTAAATGAATGATCATTTACTAATTCATTGAGTTTACTCTCTTTTTCAGTCTTTTCTGTATCAACATTATTGTCCTTCGGCTCGTCCTTTGCGAGATTCTCGGGTTTCCTATCGCCTCCATTCTTGTCCCCGACCTGCGGGGCTCCTTCGGCCAGCACCGGTTCGTGTTCTCTTTTCTCACTGTTGTTGGTGTGTTGCTGTTGATTTCCTTCGCCTTTTTTCTTCACGTCTTTGGTAGGCTTTCCATTGATCGGACTTAGTTTCTTTCTACTAGGCTTGTCGTCATCGAAACCTCGCAATTCAATGGTGTCATTTTGGGAAAGTGGACCGCCTGAAAACCTAAAGAAACAAATTATTTTGAATATCGTAAGTTAGTATATGTATAAAAAAAATATATCTTACCATTCTGGCTCCTCCATTTCTGAGATCCTTCTTCTTTCGTATTTAGACCGTCTCGTGTCCTTGTTGTTATTCTCCCTGTCTCTCGACATTTCGAAATCTCTGCCGAAGCTCCTCCTCTCGTATTTTTCGCTCCCGCCGCCAAACTTTTCTTCGCGATCGTTGTTATTGTTGCGTTGTTGACCTCGGTAGCTGTACTCGTTGTCTCCGGAATCAAGCTTGTCATTGAGGTCCCAGGAATCGCGAAGAATCCTTCCGCTTCCAATTCGCCTGGTGTTGGGCTGTATCTCCCTGATTCCTGAAATATAAATAAATTATTTATAGTTTTGTAATAAATAAATACCACAAGGACTGAGATAATAAGCAGTGATGTGAAGGAACGTTGTTAGGTTGAATGTTGAAAATATGGAGCTGATTCATAAAAGGCAAAGCATACCTACCAAAGAAGCGGATCGAAATGGGCAATTCGTGGCTAAGTTTTCTCAGTGTTTTAGTGGTGTTTTAAGTCAAATATAGCTGTCACTTCATATAGAGGTACATATCAAAACATTGGGATTCCTATCTTGGGTAGGTATTATTTGACATAAATGTAAACATGTTCTTAACTAACAATGTCTTCAAAAACGCATTATTTTCGAAAAACCCTGTATACACGGGCACTAAAATTACAGATAATTGATACAAGTTTTTTTTCCAGTAAAACCTAACTGAATCATACGTTAAAATCTGATAAAAAAAATATTGCAAAATCATGAAAAAATTATCATGAAAGTGAATTTTATCATTAGCATGACCGAAGAAAAACAATAACATGGTTTCAACTTTTAGATAAGTTCATTATTATTGTTCAATCAAATGGTTAAAGATAAGATAAGATTCAGATGTAATTCCCCTAAAGGCGACTGGAAAAAATAGTGCAAAAATATAATAATTATTGCTTGGTAAAAATATTCCAGGACCAGATTAAAATTAAATATGGCATATTAGGAACGCTTAATTTTTTTCTATTTCAGTAATTGATATTTACATATTATTATTTATACAGGGTGTTAGTATGTTCGGCCGACAACGTCCTACCCCAGAGAGATCTCATTAATTAATGAATTTTGATGTAGGAACATGAACCCTTAGACACATACTTCGATTTTCTCTTACTATACGGAGAATGGTCGCACTGCGCAGCTTTCGGAGTGCCTTTTAAAATGAGATAGAAAACTCCGCCATTTTGAACACTTATCGCGTGTTGCCTACATCTTGGCGCAATAGTTTTAGTGGTTATGTTATAATATTTACCCAAAGTCGGTCCCCAAAGATATTATTTACGCACCTACACTTTACAAAACCATTAGGAAATAATGAATATCTTGAAATCCTTGCTTTACTTGGTGATTTTATGTTAAATCTTTCCATTTGTAAGTAACAGTAGCTACTTTTATTATGTTCCTATTGTTGTATTCTAAATGCTTTTTATTTTTCAGGTATCCTAGGAATTTCGAACACTTAACTTGAACAGTGTTTACAAACCATTAATCAAATTGTTTAGAAATTATTTTTAGCTGAACTCTGTTGTCTGTTCTCAGCATTTTGAGGAAAATGCTTATTGCTCTTATGTAAAAAGGTATGTGATCAATCATGAAACAATTCTTTGTAGAAGGCAAATACCAAGAAAATTAAAGCATTTACTTCAATAGATAGGAGCAGTATTAAAATCAAACGAAATAATATAAATAAACATGTAAGTAATATTATTTACTTTTTGGAACATTTATATTATAATAATTGCTTTTATTTCAGGTTTACTACCTCTGGCGCTCATCTACACACCTGAAAGTAGAGGTAGCCCACAGCCTCACTAAGAAAATAGCCCTCTCTCCTAAATAGTTTATCTGGAACAGTCAGAAAATGACGTGTAATATTTAATTTTTTTATTTGGTACAGTAAACTGTGTAACAATTTCGGATAAATGGAAATTTCTGAGAAGCAAAAGTACCACTGATCCAGGTACATTGTTTTGTACGTTAGACATATACAAGAATCATAAAACTAACAAAAACGTCTTTTAGAGCCACCATATGTCGACATCCTTTTTACAATATTAAGTCGACGGACTAAGAAAAGCATAGCTAAGACTGTCGATTGCTATAGAAGCAGAAAGTAGGGAGATATGCAAGAGTTTTGAAAATGTACACTGGCAATCTAATGTTAATACAATTAACAAACTTGTGTAATCTTTGAGAATATTGGTGGAGGTGGTAGCAGTAGGGGTATTTTTTTTTTAATAGAAATTTATTCAGCAATTTTTTACTGTGTAACAACTGAAAGAAGACTCGTTGGTAGATGAACAATACATCTGTTTTAGTTAAAAATTATAAGATAAAAACCAACTATCTTTTGCAGCTTGCCTGCAAGAGTATATTCCTCTGGTAATATCTTTTAGTTAAAGCCTCTTTAATCTCACATTTTTTATTTTATAGTTTCGTACCATATTTACAGCTAAAAAAATGCAAAATATAATATTAGATTGTTTAGCCTCAAAGATTTTTATTACATTACAAAAATAAAATGTTTGTTCATGGACATGGGACTGGCGAAAAATATCATAATATTAAAGTAAAATCATATGCACAGCTTTAGAAATAATTTAAAACCACTCACCTCTATTTCAAGATGCACTCGCAATTATAACTTGCCTTCATTTAAAATCTTAAAATACCAAGATCTAGGCTACCAGTTTAACATTTTGGAAAAATGTGTTGCCTAACCTAGTAGTAATTGCATCAAAACGGCCGCGCCCTATGTTGGGCGTGTCGGACGTCTCTCTTGCACCGTATCAAAGTATGTGCACAAAGTATGTGAACTTAGTTACCGAGATACAGGGTGTTAAAAGTTTTAAATCAAAATTAAAAATTTGCCATAAATCAAAAATGCCTTTAAATATTTTTTCAAATTTGGTGACCAATATCTTCATTAAGAAAGTGATATTTTGACATGAATTTTTTACGCTACAGGAACAAATATTTTTTTGCTAGACCCACGTGGATATTAGCTTATTTAAGCACATACTACAAAACGAAAAAGAATGCCATTGTGTTCAACTGAACGAATATATTTCATATTCATTCTACCTAGTAAGAACACTGCAAAAAAATAGAATCCACCAATCACAGTTCATATTTTGGTCACCCGGTTACTATTATTTTTTAAATTTTATATAAGTGACAATTATGTCAAACTAATTGTCAGTATATTTTTAAGTTATTGAGATTAAATATACGTAAAAATTAGTTATTCTTGTGTAAAATCGATAAATAATAGCATTTTTATTTCGTCTATATTTACAAGTAAATCATAAATTTTAATCAAACTATTGTAACCTACCGCACCCAGGTACCTTAATAATTTATTAATTCCATTTAATAAATATAATATTGCATTATTATTAAATTCAAAATCCTTCATTTAACGAAAAATCTCCCAGATAATTAAATCTTATTTACGACACCTAATAAATAATATCTATAACCACGTCCGTAAAAGATCCAAATTTCGTGCACGTGTCTGGGAATCTAGATCATAAAACATATTTCTTTTCACGACGTAATCATCATTAAAACACTTAACTCCATTATCTTTCTAGTTTCAATGTTAAGACCGATTTGGACAATATTTCGATACACAAAGCTCTTAAGGCACATAATAAATAAAGCCATCCCCTTTTGCACCCACATGCGTATTTCTCTGAGAACTAATGTACACAGAGATGTCACAAAAGCCATTAACTTTAGTATAAGAAGTCAGACCCAAATGAGCTCGTATTCATTCATTTTTTTTTATTATTTGATGTACAAACATTCATTTATTATTTGTACCCAGTTATATTTCAAGTTCAGTAGTCAGTACCTTTCCTAAAACGTTCTTCCTAAACAACGTATATCCTACAATATCTCCTATTCCCGAACGCTGTCAATGATCCACGCCTTATTTCTGACGCTTGCCATCCCTAAACATTTCCTTCATAATATCCTTGTCGACACCCTTCGTCACGTCAAGCACCACCTACATAATTCTACCGTATATCTGTCCCAATGCAGTATCATATTAAATACTTTCCTTTCCACCACGACGCTAGGCGCCTCGACGCAAGGCGACGCTCAACGCTGCGACGTACCTAAATCGACGCCGTCACAACGCTAGAAAAAATTAGTACATAATCTAAAGTCTATTTTCAATGGCGAGTCAAAAGATTTATGTAACTTTCTTTGAGATACATACCACCGGGGTTTCGTTTAGACGAGGGCTTTTGAAATTTGCTACAAAATATTATCAATTTAACCAATAAACCACATGGCCTTCAGGTCATACACCCCGAAGGCAGTTAGGATAGACATCTATTTTGGATGGGTGAAATTTTGAGTATTTTAATAGAAATCATAAAAATCAATATTAAGAAATATACAGGGTTGTATTAAGTTATTTCAATAGAAATAATAAAAATCAATATAAAAAATATACAGGGTTGTATTGAGTTAATTCAATAAAAATTATAAAAATCAATATTTTATCTTGGATAAATTGTACAAACCAAGATGGTAAAGTTTAATAGTAAGTTAACCAACTGGTGAATACACTGTTCGTTAGCTCAAGGGGGGACACCTATATGCTAGGCAACCCGTTCTACTAGGTTTGAAACAAGTATATGTGAAATCAACATAGTAAAGTAACCAACTGGCGAATTGGCGCTGTTCGTTACTTCCGTTGGTCATCACCTCTATACTCATCGAAATATTTACCTAAGAGGGTGAAACCTGTGTATATCTAGAATAGAATCAAATCAACATCAACACAATAGTTGACCAACTGGCGAATTGGCGCTGTTCGTTAACTTCGTTGGTGATCAACCTAAATAATATATATATTGATAGCAAAGAATATGGTCTGCGTTTGAACGGGACTCAAGTGAGATCTTAGTAAATAGTAACAATTGTAATATACTTTGCTAATTATTGCATCACATTTAAAGTAAGAAAATAAACAAGTTTAAATATAAATTTGTCTGGTTTTATTTATCAATTTGTACTAAACTTTGCATTGAATCCTGGTTTACCGTAATTAACATTATCACAACGTAGGTATATAAATTATTAATTAATTAACTAGACGATCACTTTTACTACTAGAGGAAAAAGGCCAAATACAGTAAGTATAGAATTTAAAGTAAAATAAACTTGTGAGGTAAATAATAACATTTCAAAGAGTATAAAACGACCAAAATATGGGGTACCATGGGTGGGCAGTTAC